AAAAAAAAAAATGAATTTTGAAATAACAATTAATTAAATGTACCTGAATCAATTGGACACAGCTCTTGATCCAGCCTTCTCCGGTCTTGTAGCTCGTGCACAGCGCTCTATACACTGCGGCCAGTAGCGCCGACCCCCAGCTGTACTCCTTGATCTTATCGATGTCGCGCAAGAGCTGGGTCCAGTACAAGTTGACTCCACAGGCCCTCTGATCGGGAAAGAAGAACGATCCAAGGCACCAGAGGTTAAGCGCCCTCGCCCTCTCTTCGTAGGTCGATATATCCTCTCCATCTTGCAGCACTCTGTTGCATTCGTTTTCCAACCTCGAGTGCTTCAGATACTGGCCCACAATTCCCCAAGTTTTGGGGTTGGCTGTCGGGTCGTCTGCTGCCTGAGAGTGATTTATATATATTAAAAATCAAACAATTGATTATACATAAACAAACAAAAAATAAATAAAAAAAATGTGTTAAAAAATTTACCTGGGGGTCGAAGCCTAGAAGGTCCAAACACTCGTCTCGCCATTGCTGGTTTGTCCAATCTACAGTCTCTCCCCAGCAAGGCTTTCCATCGACCGGGAGACCAAACAGGACTTGTACGTCCTGGAGCGTGATTGTGGCCTCCCCGAAATCAAAATGGAAGGTGTGCGTCTCCGGTCGCCACCTTTCGACCAGACAGGTAATTAGGCTGTTGTCCGTCTGGACTCTGCCCATCCGAAACAACGGCCCAAAACCCGTCCTATCGATCACCGCTAAAACCGCCGGATGTTGTCTGTCCAACACCTTCCAAAACTCATTGTCGTTACGGCGGTTTTTAATGGTGCCGTTACGACATCCTTCTAAATCTTCATATACCGCTCTCGACCGGTGGCGGTACTGAAGGTATAGAAGGGAGCGATCAATCGGACCGGGGTGTACATTCAACCGTTGAGGTTGTGACGAGGACGATGATGCCATTTTCTACAAATAAATTAAGTTGACAATAAATTCAAAAATTCACAAATAAATTATATACACAGTAAATTCACCAAATCACGAGTTCATTCGAAGCTCTAATTCACAAATGACGAATAAATTCACAAATGACGAATAAATTCACAAATAAATTCACAAATTCAACACATCACAAATGACGAAAAAATTCACAAATTCAACATATCTTAAATAATTCGAAGCTCTAATTCACCAAATAAATTCACAACATTGGAATGAATTCACAAATTCAACATATATCAAATAATTTGAAACCCTAATTCGCAAATAAATTCACAAATAACTTCACAATTCACGAATAAATTCACAAATTACTACAAATCACGAATAATTTCACTTCCTAATTCACAAATAAACTCACAAATCACAAATACATTCACAAATTCGAAACCCTAAATTTAGCCCCAATTTGAGGTATTGAATGAAATTGACAAAATTAAAGCCAAAATTGAAGGAATGTACCTTACACCGTGAAGTAGGCGAGGCGGCGACGGCAACGGACGGCGACGGCGAGGGTAACGGACGGCAACAGCTCTCTCTTGCTCGGTTTTTCTCCTCCTCTGCTCGCACTCTCTCTCTTTTCTTTTCTGTTCTCAGTTCCAGTTGTTCGCGTAAGGAGAAGAAGAGAAAGGCTTTTTTTTTTATATTTAATTGAAGAACGTATTCTGAGAATACGTTTTACCTTTATTTAATTGTAAAACGTATTCTGAGAATACGTTTTAC